CAACAGCAACAGCAACAGCAACAGCAACAGCAACAGCAACAGCAACAGCAACAGCAACAGCAACAGCAACAGCAACAACAACAGCAACAGCAACAGCAACAACAACAGTAACAACAATAATAATAACAATAACAATAATCATAGCAATAATCATAATCATAATCATAATCATAATCATAATCACACTGCTACTAGCAATAATAACGCCATTACTACTACTAAACCAAAATCGAAAAAAAAGAAAAAACAAGTTGCATATTTTGTTTCTCGTGGAGTCGAGATTTTGGATACAGGTGATGGAACTGTAGGTAAGTAATAACAATTGAGATATCGTTACAATGAAGCATGTTATTTAAATACTATTTTTGTCATTTTTTTGTTGCAAAAAGCATCACGGCGTAATGTCTGTATATTGCATAAATTAATATATCCGATACGAAAAGGAGTGGCATTTCGATTGGAGCAAGTAAGAAAATATCAACATGAAGAGTGAGTTTGAACACTGTTTTTCCTGTTATTTCTTCTTTCGAAAAAGTCAAAAATTAACTTGAATTTCCCGAATCGATATAAATAAATAAATAAATCAGTTATCACGCAAACTCGTGGCTTATGAAAATCTCTTCTAATGGACGATACCTTATGGCTCCTACCATGACTGGTCAAGTGATGGCATTTAATTTGAGGACGGGAAAAGTATCTGCAATTTTGCGAGATCACGAAGGTAAAGAAAACCATAGAATTTTTAACTCGGACATTATATTAGGTAGAATTTTCAAAAAATAGTTAATTGACTTATTTAATTTTCACAATGACTTTACAGAAGATCTGGAGGTGCGAGATGTCATATTTCATCCGTGGAAACCTTTATTATTTACTTGTGCAGATGGTAAGTGAACGAAGCACACAAATATATTAATCTCAGTTATGTTTATTGGATGTTCTATTTATATATATATATATATGTATGTATGTATGTATGTATTATTCAAAAATGACATTTTAATTAACTTCTAAACAAAATTAAACATTAGACGGGTGTGTAAAAGTATACACCTACAAGGACAAGCAAAGCATCATCGCCACCTTTCCTTCAATAAAGGTAAAAATCAAAAAAGAAGAATTGCAAAAAAGTATCGCAGAGTTGAACTCTATTCATGGATTAAATATTGATCCGGAATTAATTCCTATTGTGAAAATCGAAACAGCATTCGCGGAAGGAGAGACGGAGGTGGATATTGATAATTAGATTTTACACAATGGAAAATTTCCGTATATGTAGTAGTGTTAATTGATTCATATGATGGAATTCTGCCATAAATTGAATTTACTGCTAAATTTTTTCTCGAGAAATAAATTCAATTTTAAAAAATAAAATTTGTTTCAATTATTATTTACTGAAATGCGCGCAATTTTAGTTGATAAATGGTTAAAAAGTGTTGATGAACTTTCTGTTTCTAATAATGCCCCTGAACCAGAATTGGTCAAAGGGCAAGTGCTTGTTGAGATAAAAGCGATTGGTCTTAACTTCTTTGAAATACTACAGGTAGACAACTATTTATCTTTTGAATAACACTATTATTATTATAATAATATTTTATTATTACTATTATTAGACGCAAGGAAAGTATCAACAAAAATTTACATTTCCCTTTGTTCCAGGAGCAGAGGTAACATAAAGAAAAACTCGAATTACACATAAAGTCGATTAATTAATTAAGGATTATTAGTTTTCTGGAGTAGTTATAAAAATACATCCAGAAACCAAAAACACAAATCTAAAAATCGGCGATCGTGTCTTTGGCGGTTCACAAGGAACATACGCAGAACGAATTGCCGTACAAGCAACGGAACTGTATCCGATTCTAGATGGAATGAATTTCGAGGATGCAGCAGGATTATTTATCACGTATCCGACAAGCTATGCTGCGTTGGTACTTCGTGCTCAATTGAAGAGGAATGAATGGTGTTTGGTGCATGCGGGCGCGGGCGGTGTTGGCATTGCTGCTGTGCAGATTGCAAAGGTGAATAAAATATGTCGTCTGAAGCTTTTTATCTTTGGAATATTCTATTAATGTCGGATTAAAAAATTTGAAGGCTCTGGGAGCTAAAGTAATCGCGACTGGAGGTTCAGTTGAGAAATTGGCAGTTGCATCACAGAATGGTGCAGATCATGTCATAAATTATAGGGATAAAAATTGGACAAAAGAAATAAAGAAAATTACGGGTAATCATGGTGTCGATGTGGTATTTGATCCTGTTGGTCTCATAGAAGAATCGATGAAATGTATAGGTAAGTAAATTTGCTATTATACTTGTTATTCTTCACTAATATCATCATCATCATTAAATAATATAATTCATTAGCATGGAATGGTCGAATAGTCGTAATTGGATTTGTGAGTGGTAAAATCGAAAAGGTAGCGATGAACCGTGTCCTTTTAAAAAACTGTGCAATCCTGGGTTTATTTTGGGGTGCACATCGCGAATACGAGAAAGAAACAATCCCGGTAGTCTGGAATGCACTCTTACATTTATTCAGAATCGGGAGATTACGTCCAGTTGTTTATCATAAAGTGTTTGACGGATTGGAAAATATTAAAGATGGGTTGAAAGCGTTGGAAAGTAGACAAACCTATGGAAAAGTAGTTGTTAGGTTGAATAGTGGTAATAATGTTGTGCAGAGCAAGATCTAATGGAATTCAAAAACTTTTGCATATAATCCGCGTTTCGGATCGAGATTTCATGTAATTACTTATTCATAAAAAATTTAAAAATTTACTTTCAATATTTATTACCACTAAAGTTGCAAAGCGAATATACACAAAAAACATAAATTACATATAATTAATTTAACAATACGCGCAAGAGGAACTTTATTGTTAGTATATTCAAATTAATTGCCGATAATTCAATCGAAAAGACCAAAGCCCATGTCCTGTAATAAAATCATGAAAATAAACGTTAACGTAAGCATAAACGACAGAAAAAGAGCGGAAAGAATGATTATTACTTCGTCCGATTCATCTTCTTTCTCATCTTTCTTTTCTTCGGCAGGAGCTTCCTCTTTGGCTGCAGCACTTCCTGCTGCGCCTCCTGCTGCAGCACCACCGCCGCCGCCGCCGCCGCCGCCACCAGATGGCACAGAAGCGAGTTTGCTGCTACCTTCGGTAATCAACTTTCAATCATAATAAATTAAAAATTTAATTATAAGTCATTAAATAGAATTATATAAATTGAACAAATTGAACACATGAAAATGTAATATACACCTCATTGATGTCTTTACCCTCTAACTCCGAAAACATTGTTTTCAAACGGTTGTCGTCCGCTTCGATACCAACCGTTTTTAAGAGTTTCTTGATTTCTTTTGCGTCTGGTGTCTTACCAGCGAGATTGAGTAGAAGATAGGCTGCTAAGTGCTTCATTATGATTGATTGCTACTCAAATACTTATAAATTGGACTTGTGTCCTAACTAATAATAGATGATATGAGTAACTGTTTTACGAAGCTGTGATATTCATTAGTTGCGAACTCTGCAAATCCATAAGTATATTCATTTTCTGCTCCGATTATTCACCTTTACTTTTACTCAATACACAAATTTGATTTTTTTGGCGTAAAAGTCGACTTTAAAATAAAATCTTTAACCCACGGAGAACTATTACGCTCTAAAAATAAAAATTTGCGCTTTTAGATAAAAAAATTTTTATTACGCACGGTATATCCATAGTCACGGCGAAAAAAAGGTTTGAACACGTGATTCCCTGCCTATCCGATCCCGACACTTTATCCGATTTTCTAGAAATCAATTATTAGTATTTGATTAAAATAAGAAATAAGTGTGTCGGTATAAAAAAAAGTAAAAAAGTAACTATTACGTTGATATAGAAATTATTAGACCAGATTTTTGTGTAACTTATAGAATTTATTGCAAAATTTCTAATTAAGTTAATATAAAAAAATCTTTAAATATATCTCTTATAAGCATTAATAAGCATGACTGTTCATGTCCATATTCAATAAAAAGATTATGTTCAAAATAATTTATATGTCCAAATATTCAATAAAAAATCAAATGTAAATATATTTTTTATTAAAATTAAAATAATAATACTAATTTTTTGAAAAGAGATATTAATTCTTATTTTACATTAATATTAATTACAGGATGAATAGTATTTTTTATTTTAATTTTTTTATTTCTATCTTTTTTTATATCTTTACTTACAAAATATTATCTTTCTTCTTTTAATAAATCTGTTCATTTTTATAAATAATTATCAAAATCTTCTTTAATATTTAATAATTTATTATCAATTTCTTTATTTTTAATTATAAGCTGATGTAAAAAGATTGATATATCAATATAAAAATCAATAATTGCTTCTAATAAAAATTATTCAAATTTTAATTAATCTTTATAATTTTTTTATATTAAGTAAAAAACAATCTAAATTAACTTTTTATATTATTTTAATTATTCTATTAT